TCTGACAGTCATTTTATAATTTTATTTCATAAATATTTAACTCCAAAATGAACGAACTGATTCAAAAGCTTTGATTCCACTACCAGAGGCTACAGAACCTTGCAGAAAGTAACACGCTAATTACCACATCATCCAAACATTACAGAGTCATATCAACATCTAGAAATTCGGTATTATGAAAATGAATGAAAGCAATATCACTATGCTTGATAAATGCCTGTGACTTAAAATATTCAGATTATGAGGTGTTAAGACTTCCGTGAGAGCAAAATGACTGAAATAAACTTGTTCAAGATCTCTCTCAATGAAATAGGCCTGTAGGATTCTTAGTCTAGACAGTACCAGTATTCATGCAGTCTGTTATCATTTCCACAATATTTAATTTGTGTCAAACATCTGCAACTGTAATACGAGAATATATAAATGCTAGCTATTTAATTATTAGCTAATAATTTCTATACCAATTACTTTATATAATAAAAACATACAACATTGTGGCTATGAGGTTCTGTACACTGGGACCGCTCCTGTAGAGGCTGTTGCCCCAATGCCCCTCGCCCTTCCAAGTCTGCTCTCCAGGATGCCTTCACCTTGCAATGCATACGGCTGGAAATTCAACCGCAGTCAAGAGCCAACACCAAGAAACATTATTTCCCGTTCTCAGGTGTGCAGGTGGACAGAGATGGACCTGCTCACTCCCTGTGCCATGACTCCCTCCTTGCAGCAGATGCAGACCTGCTGGTGCCCTGTTGCCTGTGAACCTGGAGATCCAACTCAGATCTGCAGAGGGGTTACAAAGAGAGGTTATTCCCTATGCTGCCAAATTTCTCACCAGTGTCCGCTGTAGGATATGAACCTTACATCCAACACTCCTGACAGGAGCCAGAGACTCCAAAGCTCTCCACTTCCTGCCCTGGGACCTGCCATGGTTGTAGGGAGAGGTGGAGGTCTGGCTATGGTCCCACCACCATCACGCACCCTTGCACCATCACACCCAAAGAGATGGCAGCTGGACCTGTGTGTCCTTCCCAGCTGTGGCATGAACTTCTTTAACGCCTTGTCTACAAATCTTGATGATCACACTCCCCAAACTCTCTTGGAGACAATGAATCTCACCCTGAGAGCTCCTGGAGAGATCCTGGACGAGTTTCCTCAGGCAAACTGAGCACTCCTGCACCTGCAGCACACAGCTTCAGCACCTTGTCTATGCCTTATTTAAAAGCTATACTCATTTCCAGGGAAGGCTGCACCTCACCTCTCAGAGCAAACACCCCAACAGCCAATTTTCTTCTTGGTGTTTGCACGTGACTGTCTAGTATGTACAGGTAGATGACGAAGAAGCAGCAAAGCACTTTGCATACCTGCCAACATCAAGGCCTTCACGCATTCAGTTCGGCCCTGCATTGCAGATTTCATCAGTGCTGTGAATCCAAACACATTCCTCTTCTCAATATCAAGCCCAGGAAAATAGTTCAACAAATAGTTTGTAATGGTTATGTGCCCTTTAAAGAAATGAAAAAGCAGAGAAAACATGTCACAGAATGAAGGTGCTGTCTCAAAGTTAAACAAAAAATCACTCCTGAACGTTTCATAACTGGAAAAACACAGATAACTAATAAGATCTCTTTTCTTCGTATCCTCTTCCGCTCATTGCAGTCATTAGGCTTACGGTTAAGTGGCACTGACTTGTGACCAGGTTTGGGCTAGAAGCCTGGGAACCTGGGTTCCCACCTTTTCTCAAGTTGCTCTCCTCTCTGGAAAGTCAATTTAAGGTAACGGAAGAACTGCAAACCAGAGATGGTCACTCTGAGGTTGCAAGGGGCTTCAGTTTCTTAGCTCAGTGAGTAGCACTGCAACAGGAATTCCTACAACTTACAGAAGGAAGACCCATCACCTGGGTGAAATGACTGCAAAGGTTCAGCTTTTTCACTCTCCTGGTAAATTTGAGCCTCGTTATTATAATGCTTCATTTAAAAGTGATTACATGTGGTAGTTTAAGCCAATAACACTAAGAAACCATGCCAGGCCTGATATGCGACAAAGAAATATTTTGCGTAGAATCCCACATTTTTATTTTTCCATCTGACAGTGTAAAGCCACTTGTCTGCTCTCCAGCAATGGGAAAATGGGGCTGATGTTCAGTTTTGTTAGTGAAATAAATGACTTGCGTTGTGTCTCTGCAGGCAACTGCTGTTGCCATTCACGTGCCTTGTACGCCAGGATAACCGGTGTCAGCAAGGGCATACTGAGCAGTTGGAGACAACTCTGGTTAAATGGCTGGAAGACCAATTAAAACATCGAGTCTTTATAATGGGACATCAGCACAAGATGAGTATCTAGTTCCATTATGACTCATTTAAAACAGTTTTCCCTTCACTTGTCATTCATTTGATGATGCTTTGATGCTTTATAAAATAATGCACTCTGGCAGGCAGCTGCAACAATCACAATTTAATTACTAGGAGCTGTAAAAATATTCTCTCATCTCACTCAGCAGTCCAGCTGAATATTCTGTGATGCATGTCATTCAAATTCATCTAGAAATGTTACTGAAGCAGATTGTAATTCATACAGGACAATTTTAAAAGCCTATAGTGTCACATCTGGTGCAGGTTTCTTCAGCAGTCGCTTTGCACCAACACAGTCCTGCATTCACTTTGGAAAGCAAGATAAGAAAAACTTTACCAATTAATTTAGGATGTTTTCTAGGTGCTTCTCTTTATCTCCTAGAATTTGCTGGACTCTGCTGCCTTGCCACATAACTGGAAACTCTCCTGAAACCTGAGCAGATGTAGAGATAGTGCGGATCAGCTTAGCCACGCCAGAGTCAGAGAAAAACAGATAAGAAGCTCCCTGTACCTCGTGCAGTCTGATGCAAGTGAAATACAAAGATATGGCAAACCACAACAAGCTGAAAAAAAGCGAAAGTGAACTGGGTTCAGGGCAGGATCAAGTGACCCGGACCTGCTTACTCAGTGCAGAGGCTTCAGCTTCACTGACTTTACGGTATAAGATCAAATCCCAGCAGAGTATCGGTTACTACCAGCAGAATCTTTGTGCCCAAACTGCTCTGCAGAACATGCTCTGCTTCGCTAATGTACAGTGTGCGTCTTCGTGGTTTTGGAACAACTGAAATACTGCTTTTTGACCACAGAAACCAGAGACAGGAACTGAAACAAGGAGACACAATAAGCTGGAAGATTGTTCAGCTGTTATTGCATTACTAAAGATGTTCTTCCTTTTGCCAAAAGTATAGCTGCAGTAAGAGATGTTTTGCAAATCTGGGATGATCCTAAGAGTCAGTCTTGAAAGACCTTGCTCAGCCAAAACTCTCCAGGGGGCTACAGATGGCCTCAAATGAGACAGAAAAAATACCAGCAATAAAATAACAAAGAAACTAAAGAGGTTTGTGATGCTCAGAAGTTCTGTGTCTCAGGGATTCCTGAAAACCACTTCAGTTTTAATCTGCAGGAGCTTCTGTCCTCCGAGGTTTGCTTAAAATTTCTAGTTCAAACATATATCCAATTCAAAGCAAAACTCAGAGCTGCCAAGTTTTTGTTCAAACCCTGTCATATGCTTTTGATTTAAGGCCATAAAGTTTGCTTCAGTTCTCCTGAGTCTGGGCAAACTAGAAGCGTGTATCTAAATCGTAAGCCAGGTGAGTCTTCCGTGATTTAAAGTCTGCTATGAAAGCTGTATGCAGCTCTAAAATAAATTAGCCTGGCCTCAGCCAGTTTCATGATACTGAATTTGTACCAGGCTCTTGCTGTTTGTAAGCCAGATCTATCTTCTACCAGAACTGGCATGCTAAGGGTACACTTCTTTGCCCTATGAGCCATATTTAGAGATCAGCACAGATGTCTGTAATACCTTAATTCACTTAACTGCTGCCACAGAGGAAATGCCTGAAATGATGACAACATTGTCTAATAATCTATGTAATGCAGGCAGAAGGATAAGCTGCATAGTGAGGAAGATGCTCTGTCATACACCATCACAGTTTCGAATTGTACCTGCAAAATGCCTGTGTTTGCTGTATGGGTGGTGAATGCCTTCTGATGGATTGATGGAACCGAAGACACCCAGAGCCTTTCATCCTCTGCATGCTTTAGGTGTTTGTGTTCTCACGTCTCCCTTAATAAACAAGAAACTGGGATAACTTACGATTTTGTGTTCCCAGCTCTACAACCTTGCCCCAAACTGGTCCCTGTAACACAAAACATCTATCCTTTGTGAGCAAATACAACTATTTCTGAACAGCAGCGCATGCCTGTTACCATACACCGCCACTGATGTAGCTATGTCCTCAGCAGCAGCAGAACAGAGGAAAAAATTTTAATGTTGTTTTCCTCCCTTTTCCTTTTTGTTGAAACCACTCTCCTTTCTCTCCACTTGTTGTTTCAATCTGTTGTTTGCATCATTCTCCCATTTTTTCTGCATTGTCTTTGTACTGATGTTTACTGATTTTGCTTCTGCTTCAGCAGCATCACCACCATCTCTGGGCACCACCTGCTGCAGGCTGGAACAAATTTACAGTTTTGGAAGGCAAGCTGTCTTTGAGCAGGGATCCCATAACTGTGAGAGCAAGTGAACAGACCAATTTTCAAACCTGAAATTTACACACTAAGCAGAGCACTTCGTGTTTATTTTCTACACTAGTAAGCTTATTAAGAAAGTGCCACTTTTCACTGATCCCTCCAGCCTATCTTTCTCAGGTCAGCCCATGCAAAACACTTCAGCTTTAGATACTTTCTTTGAAGGATGAGAATCTTAAATTATCAAAAGCAATAAGAGGAACTGAATTCACTTATTTTCTGACACTCTAGCTGGTCTTTAAGATAATTCTCTTTAATTCAAGATGATGCTCAGATTTGAGCATCATATCCAGGCAGTCATGAAACGTCACAGGCAAGTGTGGATTTTAAACTCCAGTAGCAAAAGCGAAGAGGCCTCCCTGTCATCTCCCTTTGTACCTCGTGTTATAGACGCAGCCTCTGAAACACACGGAATGATCCCACAGGACCACAGTCTCTTTCCCATCCAGCTCCTCTTTGAGGTCTGGCCATACATGACGGTCAGCCGGTCATAGCAAAAATGACAGCACCTTCTGAAACCTTCTGGTATTGCCTTACAATTAACTGAAGTCATGTGGATTTGCTATTAGACTTTCCACATGCAAAAACATGCTTTCAGCATAAATAACAGCGATCTCTCAGAATAATTTATTTAGCAAAAATATTATTTCCATGGCCTGAAGTTAAAAAAACCAACAAATAAATCCTCTACTAAAGAAAACCTGTCATAATCTTTGCTTTCAGTTCTTTATAATACACTGCTCAATGTTACTGCTTAACATTCAGCAATAATTAAGCAGCATCTATTGCATTGTAGCTCCTCTGGTTGCAATGCTAACCTCACAGTAATCTCTATTAACCGTACAGCAGCATCTTGTGATAATGAATAAAATAACCAGTGTCAACACTGTAGCTCAGGATTATCATAGGCAGGGGAAAACATCCAAGTTGTTAGGAGTTTGTACAAACTTTGCTGACTGCAGTCATTTCCAGTTGCTTTGGGGATCAATGGCAAGAGCTGGCAGAGTGTCAAGTCAACGTCAGCCCTCTGGATTAATTCTGAGCTCATTATCATGAGTTATAAACGTCAAGAAGGAGTCAGTGTTAAACCTTTTATAGTCCAAATTTATATTAGGGCAGATAAATAAAAGCAGATTAGAGTTTTTGAGACTTCTCCATTTTATTTAGGAAAGCTACTATAGTCCTGACTTTGCTATGGACATGACTGCTGTGGTCGCAATCTTTCTTCCAGGGTTCAAGACCTATCTTACAGTGACTTCTTTAGCAGAGTTCACTTTTTGGTAGAACACAAAGCAAAGTTTGGTATTGCCTGGAAATGTCTAGTGGCAATATTACTAAATTAATATCAAAACTGAACTGCTTCGATCTTTAGGTATGGCTTGTAATGTCCATTGACATTGCCTGATGGAAATCTGTTTCCTCCAGCCAGCCAGGGTGTGGGAGGGAATACTATGCCCCATGAACTCCCACGAACACGGCAAGTTCTTCATCAGTGAGAAGACATGATGAAGACCAGGTATGCATTCCTTTGTCAAGTGATTGCCTTTGAGGAGCACGCTTGAGGGATGCAAAGGAAACCATGGATGCAGAGCCAGGCAGCCCCTAGAACAGCTTTTAGCCTACAAAGTGATGGCCTCCTTGGTCAAGTTTTTACTGATTTACATGCTTTAGCACTTTGTTAACACTTGTCAGACAAAACTACAGCTTCCCTTAAAGGTTAAAGCACAGTGTTTCAATTTTAACAGAAATAATGGACTGATTGCTTTTTGACTGTAGACTTGAAACTAGCAACTATTTTGGGAAAATCTCTTATATTTATGTGATCTGTAACACTTGTTCATGGAATATTACGAAGCTGGGTGGGGTAAAGGAAAACCTGGGGATAAGCTCTGCTCTCACTCCAGTTTGCATCAGGATTAACATGTTTGATGTCATACAATCAGTCTGTTACAAAAGCAGCATTGGCAAACACCGAACCCTGCTGAGGCTATGTAAATAGGGTTTTTTTTTCTTTTAACTATGGAGTGGTTGAAGAATATCTTAGCAGCTAAGGTATTTCTTAATGATGATACATTTTCCTACAGTCATCAATAACTACAGACCCGCTGAGGTAGGTGCAACAAGCATGAGAAGAGAGATGCTATCAGCACTAATACAGCACGTTACATGACCACAATGTTGACTGGTTGCTTGCCAGAGCAAACATAGGAAAATAGGCTTAAAGGAACAAAGCAGTATAGTACTCCACACCTGGAGCAAGATTTTGTTTATTTTTAAGTTAAAATAGTTAATGGCATCTACTAGAAATGTATAGCTTTTTCTGTCTTAATCCATTAGATAAATATTACCATAGATCATCAATTCAAAGAAAATCATGACAAACTTACTTGGGTGTGGGCTTGGCCAGGATTATTTTATGCAAACTGATTTTTTCTAGGGCTTTGAATAAATCCTAAAAATAAGAGCCACAACACACACTCCTCCTAAAACCCAGTATGTAAGAGGTGAAACAAAAAGCCTTACCTGCCTGTGCAGCTGTAATTAGAGCCGTGTTCCCTTCGTTGTCCTGCCAGTTCACATCAAGGTGAGGGCATTGTGCTAAGGCTATTACAATATCCACATAACCTTGGTAACAGGCAACGATAAGACCATTCTGTAAGTAAAACATAAAGAGAGAGTTAGGTTTACCAGACTCAGAAAAGTTCACTGAGGAAGCATACTAGTCTGCTCTTTTTTTTTTTTCAGACGAAAGAACTGAAAAGGTGTCAACAAAACTAGTGATTAGCTCCAGGCACAATGTTCAGATCCAAAACACTGCTTTTTATCTCTGCTCTTTGGCGAGTAACGTTTGGTGTTCCTCAGAAATTCCTAAGAGAGTACGCATTATATTATGCTACTTGGAGAGTAACTGTTTATAAATGGCTTATGCTTATATGGCTATATACTCTATATCCAAATGAGAATAAATCAGATTTTATTGTATAATAAAATGCAGCTGGCAGGTAAGATGGACTGGACCTGCTCTGTATTTTAATTCTCTGAAAGGCAACTACTTGTTCTCTGAAGGGGAAGTGATAAGCAGGAGTTGTGTTCATCCTGCCTGCTGCTATCTTTAAATACTTCAGGTTTCCCATTAGAACTTTTTTTATAAGCATAAATAAAATAAAATTGCTTTTCGAGTTCCTGTTTAATGTGCTTTATGACAGCTGGAAGCTGTAAAACTTCCAGAAGGAAGCCAAGCCACGACATAAACCTTCTAACTCTCCTTGGTACCAGATAGCATTTCACTCCACAGCGGCAAACTGACAGCTTCCCTAAAACACCACAAAATACACTTGTCATTAATTAAATGGAACGAACAGTACTTAATCCTGGCTGCTCGCTTGACCACTACCAGTAAAACCATCATCTGTGGTCTCCAGGACGACTCGGGCAGCCCGGTGTTCACCTGCACGGGGCTGAGGGGCGCAGAGGAGGGCAGGGGCAGATGGATCAGTGCTCCCTGCGCTCCCTCATCACTGCCAGTGCCTGACTCGGTTTTCTTCAGCTCAGCATCAGTATCTGACTATTGGAACAGATAAGGGCAGAGACAGAAATCTCAACCTCCCAGCTAACCCTGCCTGCCCAGAACGCACTCACGCAGCCATGCTGCAAGTTCATAACCACAAAACGCCAGCAAGAAGGAGAACTCGGTTATGAAAACTGAATGGCCCGCCCTGACTCCTCCATCATTTTTCTAAGCAGTTCTTGCCTAAACATTCTCTTTATTTCTTTTCCCCATGCACACTACCGAGACAGAGATATTCACCAAATGACAACTGTGGCTTCTGATTTATCGTCATTATAACCAGTTAGTTAATATTTCAGTGCCCTGTTTCATTGTTATTCTGGATAGCACTTTTGGCTTAGGTGTCAAACAGCTTCATTAAGATACAGAGGCAATGCCAACTCTTTGGGATGCTCACAAGATATGTAGGGTATTTCTCAATTACATCTTTCAATAAAAGTATTTCTCTGATTCCTTTTATTTTCAATTCACTCTTTTCCTCAGTATGAAGCAACACCCATCACTGCTTTATAGAGACCATCCCCATTTCCTTGTGAAGAACCTGCAGTACTTCAAACCATTCTATTGAAATTGTACAGAGGATTCTGCTTAAAGCCATATATATGGCTCATCAATAACTACATTATAAATTATATATATATATACAGGTTAACTATGAGCCAGCAGTGTGCCCTGGCTGCCAAGAAGGCCAATGGGATCCTGGGGTGCATCAAGAAGAGTGTGGCCAGCAGGACGAGGGAGGTTCTCCTTCCCCTCTACACTGCCCTGGTGAGGCCTCATCTGGAGTACTGTGTCCAGTTCTGGGCTCCCCAGTTCAAGAAGGATGAAGAGCTACTGGAGAGAGTCCAGCGGAGGGCTACAAGGATGGTGAGGGGACTGGAGCATCTCCCCTACGAGGAGAGGTTGAGGGAACTGGGCTTGTTCAGCCTGAAGAAGAGAAGGCTGCGAGGGGACCTTATAAATGCCTACAAATATCTGAAGGGTGGGTGTCAGGAGGATGGGGCCAAGCTCTTTTCAGTGGTGCCCAGTGACAGGACAAGGGGTAATGGGCACAAACTGAGGCACAGGAAGTTCCGTCTGAACATGAGGAGGAACTTCTTCTCTCTGAGGGTGATGGAGCACTGGAACAGGCTGCCCAGGGAGGTTGTGGAGTCTCCTTCTCTGGAGATATTCAAGACCCGCCTGGACAAGGTCCTGTGCAGCCTGCTGTAGGTGACCCTGCTTCGGCCGGGGGGTTGGACTAGATGACCCACAGAGGTCCCTTCCAACCCCTACTATTCTGTGATTCTGTGATTCTGTGATATATACATATATGACCTGAAATAATATTCACTAAAACGTATGTACTCTCCTGGTGGGATTGTTCAGATTAATCTAAGCTTTACTACAATGTAAACATTATTGACTTTAAAAAAAATTGTGTCCGTCTCCACTTGAGTGGAGTACTTGAGTACTATTTTAGTTCTTCAATAATTTCACTTTTCACCTGATGTTCAGGATACAGGTCTTTACAACTCAAAAAACTCTGCAGATTTAAAAAATCACCCAGTCATTCACTAAAATGGCAGTTACTGATCATAGCAGAAAACTAAGTATGCAATAATTTGGAGACCTAAAATTCTTGACAGTAAGAAAGGGATCCTATTGTTCACTGAAAAAATTGGCATTTTTTCAAAGAGTGCAATTTTCAAAAAGCCGTAAGAATAACTTAAAGTAGTTTCATTTCTAATGGAAAAAACTGTTTCACTCAGTATCTGAAGGATATTTTCATAGTGTATTTTCACAGGACATTTTTGTGTTCTAAAAATATTTACTAGATGCTTAAAAAATAAAAAAGTTCCTTTTTTGCTCTCTTTAAAAGAAAAAACCAACTGTAGAACAGTAAAACAAACAATATGAACAACAAACATTAGCTCTTTCTTGTGAGAGGCTTTTGCATTACAGTATTTAGGGACTTTTGTCCTACTTTTAGTCTGTACCTCCATCAGATAGGATCTAACACAGCTAACACACACTGACGTTCTGATTTCAGCAGACATGAGACACAAATGATCTCAAAATCAATCACCCTCATTCACCATTCTGAGTTTACAAACCATAATGATTACTTAGCTATCAACATTTTCTGAAGTTTATTTTCCAAAGATGCTATCAAAGGATTAAGGAAAGGCAACGACAAGTAGGAGCTTTCTGAGGGATTACACGATGCAGAAGCATGGAGAATCAATTTTGAAGGACAGTTGTATGAATCCGAAGTGGGTCAGGTAAGTGCGTGAGAACCTGGTGTTCGACGGAGCACGCCCAGCACTCCCTGGCCGAGAAGCAAAACGACCGCTCACATGAGGACATGAAAACAAGTTGCTTCACTGCCATATGGTTCCCAGCACGGTCCCGGGCTGTGAGGCTGATGCAAGTGCTCTCCGGTTCCCCTCCCCGGCTATGTGTTTCAGAGGGAGGTGGGTGAGACAGACCGCTTGCCGAGGGACTGCTTTCCTTTGCAGAACTCTTCCAGATGCATCAGATACTGAAATGAGGTGCAGGAGGCTACAGTTTTACAATGAAAATTGCAATAAACCCTTGGACTTGACAGTTGTTGCTCAAATCCTGGTTCAATCATACCATGATAATTTATGGTTTCAGGCTGTGGGGTTTTTTTTTTCCTTTTTTTTTCTCTTTGCATTAATTTCTGGCCCTGTCTGTATTCTGCTTGCTGAAAGTTAGTACAAGTGGATCAGCCAGGAAGCACAATAAATCAATCGCAACATGAGTTGTTAGTCTGGAATCTTTAACTTCATATACCAACAAATACTATTATCCACAGCCATAATATATTGCAAACTCTTTCAGCAATCTCAATTAATAAATATAACTGATATAAAATTGTTTTCGGCAAACTGCCTTTTGAAGTAATTGGTAAAGCAGTAGTCTGTATCACAGCCGTCTGCAGGAAAATACAGCTGTGAGCTCAATGTTTTTTCAAACGATAAAAACAAAGCAGTATAAATGAATTTTAGCTAGAAAAGTCTGAACCTGAGTAATCTGGTTATCCTCAGAAAAGAGACGACACTTTATCTCATTAGTGTTCTGCAAAGGCATCAACTATTCTGCTCTTCATATGAAGGGTCATGGTGCAATTATGAAGTTGTCAGTGTACATGGAAAAAAAATGTATTTTTAAAATTGAATTTTACTATTATTTTGTCAGTAAGATCCATTCTCAGACATATTCACTACATGTGAAAGCTTTAGGAGAAGGAAGATTGATAATTCTTAAATGTCTGTCCTCTCTCTAAGACTTCAACATTTCTCCCTCGACAGCATCCTTTTCCCTCTCTTCATATGTCCTCAGTCACCACCTATGTCAATCCATGACAAAAACTCAGACTATTCACATTAATATATGATAATAATCAATTATTAGAAGGAATAACTGTACATCTGTCACAGCATGCAAGCACAGCATCCCTGCTTTTCAAGTACTGTTTTGTTAGCCAAGACTTGCTCTCTCCCGGTCGGCAGCCAGGGTCGCTGCCCATCGTTCTCCCAGACCAATGAAACCGAACAGGCCCAAAAATCTGCTTTGATCCTCTGTGCAGAAGAGACCTTGAACATGAAACAACATTGATGCCTTTGGACTCTAGGAAAATGGATTTCTTCATTACAGGAGAACGGGGTGGCTGGCTTCTCTGAGGTTTGCAACAGATTCGATTTCATTTTTCAAATACCACATACAGACTGCGTGACAAATAAGAAAGCAGGAGTCATCCATCACATCAGCTACATTAACATTTACTCCTAAATTTTCCACATAAGGGGGGCTGAAATTCAGTTCAGTAACAGTTTTTTTCCAAGTAGAAGCCATAATACTGCCAGGTGTTGAGGGCTGTCTTTCCTCTGTGGAATATTTGGCATTTCACAGAGCTTCCCCATAGTTCTTCTATAGTATAAGACATATTTTTATATAACTAGCACAGTTTTGAAAGATTCCTCCTTTGTTTTGAAGTGACAGAGCAAAATTAACAACGCTTTATTTAGAATACATGACAAAACAGTCAGTCTGGGATAAATCACTTGTTTTCTACATATACTAAATAAAGTCTAACTAATTTTCTTCATTTCATCCCAGAGTACATATATGGACATTTCAGGCCTGGGACTACCTGCAGTTAATCAGATGTTGCAACACCTTCCTCAAGCAATGTTTATGAATTGTACGAGTTTCATAGTGCTATTCTGTAATCAGACTAAAAATATTGTATTAAAATTTCCTAGAAAAGCATAAACTTGAAATGTGCATGTTTGAAATAGAATGAAATAGTCTCGGGAAGATTTTGATTCCTTTTAGACTGATATTTCTTCATGTGTCTTTGATTTCATGTAAGACTGGAATACTGCTGCCACTATAAAAACACACTCTGCTTTGCTCAGCTGTGTTGGCTAATGACATAACAATGTGTCTGATTAAGTGAGGTCATGGATATCTCAGGAGACGATTTTATAACTCAGATGTTACAACAAAATTATGGATGCAAGGCTAGTTGTATACTAGATCATTACAGATAATAGAGATCACAAAAAATACTAGAGGATCAATAATGAACTCAAGCTGAACAGCAGAGCAAATCACATACAGCACGCAATAATTTTAGCTTTTAAAAAAATCTCTTCAGGCAACTTATTTTCCACCAAGACGCTCAGAACATAAACAGCTTATTGTAGCTTTTCGTCTGTTATCCCAGACACAAATAGGTCTGGCAAAAGACTAAACTGACATTACCTATTGCTTTTCATAAGCATCGTGATTGCCCTGGTTTCGGCTGGGATGGAGGTCATTTTCCTCCCAGTAGCTGCTGTTTTGGATTTAGTATGAGAAGAATGTTGATAACACTGATGCTTTCAGTTGTTGCTATGAAATCAAGGACTTTTTCCAGTTTCCCATATTCGACTGATGAGCAGGCGTGCAGGAGCTGGGAGGGAGCACAGTCAGACAGACAGCCA